AGCCTCAGCTGTTCATCTCTGTTCTTGTATTCTAGCCCATGTGAAATAAATGCTAATGTTGCATTTGCCTTCCTGACTGCTAAGTGAACCTGCATGTTCACCTTGAGAGAATCCTGAACTCGGACTCCCAAGTCCCTTTGTGCTTCAGATTTCTAAAGCCTTTCCCTGTTTATAAACTGCTTCTCTTTCTCTTCCCCCAGACCTCGATGGAGTCCCTAATTCACCACTTCAAGTTGTACACTGAAGGATTCCAGGTGCCTCCAGGCGCTACATACACTGCCATTGAGGCTCCCAAGGTAACAGTGTCGCTCTGTGTGTGTTGGGGAGGATCGAACACTGGGGACTAGCCTCTGTTGAGCCTGGAGGAAGGATTGGAGAGGGTGGGAGAATTTGGGCAAGAGAAGGAAAACTGCACATGAGACAGGACGAGGTTCTGACGAGGTAGGGAGAAGGTGAAAGGAAGACTTGGGGAGGCATCCGGGAAGCGGGGACAGACAGAAGGATGAGTCCAGACGAGGAAAAGCAACTTGAAAGAACGAGAAGGGGAGTTTGTTGAACTAAGGAGAGGGAGTTTGGAAGAAGCGAAATGTCGGGGAGGGTCGGAGAGAGATTGAAATGGGAACGGAGGGAGGGAGGGCGCAGGATGGTCCAATTGTTGAGCTCTGTCTCGGGCTGAGAGCCGTTTTGAGGAGGCTTTTTAGGCCTTTCGCGTGGAGCTTGTTCTGTCCCTACTCCCCCACCGTTCCCAGCAAGCCCGACCAGGAGTCAGTTTAGGAGGAGAATGCCCCAGCAAGGGGAAGCTGTTCAGGAATCCTTCACACTCTCCTGGAAGCCTGCAAGTTGGCAGCTCAGGCCCGTACTCTGCTCACAGTCAGTCACTCCCTTTGTATTGGGCTGTCTCTGCAGGGCGAGTTTGGAGTTTACTTGGTTTCAGATGGAAGTAGTCGCCCGTATCGATGCAAGATTAAAGCACCGGGGTTCGCCCATTTGGTAAGTTAGGATGTGTACGCGCGTGTCCCAGGCCTACAGAGCGTGTGTCTGTCTGTCTGTGTGTTCTACTGCTGTCCAGTGTACCAGTCCCTCCCCAACCCCTCCCAATCTTACACATTTACATTTAAGATTGCAAGTAGGCCATTCAGCCCCTCAGGCCAGCTCCGCCATCGATAAAGCCATGGCTGACCTTTTGTGTGTTTCTGAATTCCACACTCCCCTCTCCCTCGTGATCTTTGATTTCCCTCACCAGCGAGAGAATCTTTCCTCCTCTACCTTGAAATGTTCAATGGGACCACCACCGCCACCTTCTGAAGTAGAATCACAGAATCCAGGCCATTCAGCCCATTGAGTCCACACCGACCCTCTGAAGTGCATTCGGAACACCACCGACACCCCCTACCCTCTCCCTGTAACCCTGCATTTCCCAAGGCTAATCCACTGAGACACCACCGGACAATTTAGCATGGCCAATCCACCCTAACCTGCACATCCCTGGGGCACTATGGGACAATTTAGCACGGCCAATCCACCCTAACGTGCCTGTCTATGGGCACTGTGGGGCAATTTAGCACGGCCCATCCACCCTAACCTGCACATCCCTGGGCACTATGGGACAATTTAGCACAGCCAATCCACCCTAACCTGCACATCTTTGGACTGTGGGAGGAAAACGGAGCACCCGGAGGAAACCCACGCAGACATGGGGAGAATGTGCAATCTCCACACAGACGGTTGTCCGAGGCTGGAATCGAACCCAGGTCCCTGGCGCTGTGAGGCAGCAGTGCTAACTACTGAGCGGCCCAAACACACTCCTATGAAGGGAGGCAGTTCCAAAGTCATGATGCCCTTGGAGAAAAAGATTTCTGTAATTGCTGTCCTAAAAATGGTGATCCCTAATTTTTAAAACAATCCCATAGATGTGGAGATAACACTGGGGCGGGGGGAAGGTCCCGACCCAAAACGTCAACTTTCCTGCTCCTCTGATGCTGCCTGGCCTGCTGTGTTCCTCCAGCTCCGCACTTTGTTATCTCAGACTCTAGCATCTGCCGTTCTTATTCCATAGATGTGGATTTGCCCACAGGAGGAAACATCCTTAACACCATCCAGAATCTTCAATCACATTACCCTGGGCTTTTCAGGACTGCAATAGTTCCAGCAGCCTATCCAACCTATCCCCATAAAACAAGCATCAGTCAAGTTAACATCCTCTGTACGCCCTCCAATGCATTTCCATCCTTCGTTAAATTAGGAGACCAAAACTGGATGCTGTATTGCTGTATATGGTCTCTCCAGTTCCCTGTATACCTGAGCATTGCACCTTTTGTTTTTAAATGATAGAAGTAAGGTGGTGAAGAAACTCAGCAGGTCTGATGATGGTGTCTGTGGGGAGAGAAAACATTTGAGTCCAATATGACTACTTCAGAGCACCAGATACTGTCTGAGCGTTCTCCAGAATATCCGGCTTTAATTCCAGCATCTTCACTGCTTTGCTTTAACGTTCAATTTCTTTCTCAGTACAGGATAGCATTCCATTAGTGACTTTAATCATTTGCTGTACCTGCACACTGTCCTTTTGTGCCTCATGCACGAGAGCCCTCTGCCTCAGAATTCTGCGTAAGTTCTCCATTTCAGTATTACCATGCCAAATTTATTCCTGTCACCTGACTGAGCAGCTTCACAGTTTCCCACATAATTTATTTGTCACCCCTGTATTTAAACTACCTACATCAGTTTGGGTTCCGCCACGGCCACCCGGCTCCTGACCTCATTACATTCTCGGTTCAAACATTGACAAAAGAGCTGAATTCCAGAGGTGGGGGAGATTGACAGCCCTTGATATCAAGGTTGCATTTGACAGTGTGGTGTCAGGGAGTCCTGACAAAATTGGAATCAGTGGGTATCGGGGGCAAACTCTCTGCTGGTTGGAGTCATACCTGAGACACAGGGAGATGGTCGTGGTTGTTGGAGATCAGTCATCTCCACTTCAGGATATCTCTGCAGGAGTTCCTCAGGGTAGTGCCCTAGGCCCAACCATCTTCAGCTGCTTCATCAATGACCTTCCCTTCATAAGGTCAGAAGTGAGGGAACAAAAACAGAAGTTGCTGGAAAAGCTCAGCAGGTCTGGCAGCATCTATGAAGAAAACAATCAGAGTTAACATTTCTGGTCTGGTGACCCTTGTTCAGAAGTGGGGATGTTCACTGATGATTGCACAATGTTCAGCACCAGTCATGACTTCTCAGATACTGAAGCAGTCCATGTCCAAATGCAACAAGATCTGGGAAAATCCAGGCTTGGGCTGACAAGTAACAAATAACATTCACGTCACACAAATGCTAGGCTACGACCATCACCAATAAGAGACAATCTAACCACCACCCCTTGACATTCAGTGGTGTTACCACCACTGAGTCCCACACTATCAGCATCCTGGGGGTTACCATTGACCAGAAGCTCAACTGGACCCACCACATAAACACAGCGGCTACAAGAGCAGGTCAGAAGCTGGGAATACTGCAGCGAGTAACTCCCCTCCTGTCTCCCCCAAAGCCTGTCCAACATCTACAAGGCACCACATCCACAAACATCCCACTCCCTTCACCACCGACGCTCAGTAGCAGCAGTGTGTACCATCTACAAGGTGCACTGCAGAAATTCACCAAAGATCCTCAGGCAGCACCTTCCAAACCCACGACCACTTCCATCCAGAAGGACAAGGGGCAGCAGATACATGGGAACCCCACTCCCTGCAAGTTCCCCTCCGAGCCCCTCCCCATCCTGACTTGGAAATATATCGCCGTTCCTTCAGTGTTGCTGGGTCAGAATCCTGGAATTCCATCCCTAAGGGCATTGTGGGTCAACCCACAGCACATGGACTACAGCGGGTCAAGAAGACAGCTCACCCCCACCTTCTCCAAGGCATCTAGGGACAGAAGCAATAAATAATGGCCAGCCAGCGATGCCCACAAATGAACTTATTTTTAAAAAAGCCTGCATCCTGCTTCGTGACACAATTTCCAACCTATCTTTGTGTCATTTGCAAATTTAATTATCATGCCTTTGATTCCCCTCATTATGTGTCACACCCTGTCAACCTGAAAAAGACTCATCTAATGTGTACTCTGGTTTGTTGACAGAAAACAATCTTCTATCCATGGTCCTACGTCCTACAGTGAGTTCTTACTTGGCACAAAAGCCTTTTATGTTGAACCTTGTCAAGTACCTTCTAGAAATCCAATTGCAACGTATCAATAGGCCTCCCCTTATCAAAGCGCATTTAACTCCTTCAAAGTTCCAATAAATTGCTTAAGCCCCATGATTTCCCTTTCACTAAATTACATTGGGATTTTCACAAGTCACTGAGTTGGACAGCACGGAAACAGACCCTTCGGTCCATGCTGACCGGATATCCTAAATTAATCTAGTCCCATTTGCCAGCATTTGGCCCATATCCCTCTAAACCCTTACTATTCACGTACCCATCCAGATGCCTTTTAAATGTTGTAATTGTACCAGCCTCCACCACTTCCTCTGGCAGCTCATTCCATACACACACCACCCTCTGTGAAAAAGTTGCCCCTTCAGGTCCATTTTATATCTTTTCCCCTCTCACCTTAAACCAATACGCTCTAGTTTTGGACTCCTGTACCCTGGGGAAAATTGGCTATTCACCCTATCCATGTCCCTCATGATTTTATAAGCCTTTATAAAGTCACCCCTCAGCCTCCGATGCTTCAGGGAAAATAGCCCCAGTCTATTCAGCGTCTCCCTGTAACTCAAACCCTCCAACCCTGGCAACAGCCTTGTAAATCTTTTCAAGTTTAACAACATCTTTCCAATAGCCAGGAGACCAGAATTGAATGCAGTACTTTGTAGGTGCCCAGTTATTACCTGTTCAATAGTTGATTCTAATTACTTCTTCATGACAATTGCCAAGATAATGGGGCTGTAATCCCTGCTTCCCTTGATTGAGTACCATGTGTTTATTTGCAATTTTTTTCAAGTCCGAGAGATTCTGGAAAGGTTCTAACAAATTGTATTAAATTAGCACCAATGTACCAACTACCTCATTACCCCCTCTTTTCACCCTAGGATGAAGTCTAAAAAGACTTTGCAATTTACTAGGCCACAGTTTGCTTGTATTATTTCCCTGAATGATTGATTGTAATTAGAGATTGCTATTTCACTACGTTCCTGTCTTCCTTCAACCTCCTGATGTACAACTATTACTGAGCTGGAACAAAGAGCACAGGAACAAAGAGCACAGGAACAGGTCCTTTGGCCCACCCAGACTGTGCCAACACATAATGCCTTTCTAAACAGAAAACCTTTCGCCTCTATGTAGTCTGTATCCCTCCAAAACCCTCCCTATTCATGTTTATGTCTAAATGCCTCTTAAACATTGCCATTTTACCTGCCTGTACCACCTCCTCTGGCAGCAGATGCCCGGCACTTACCACCTGCTGTGCCAAAATAAACTGCCTCTTGCATCTTCTTTAAACTTAGAGGTGGCTCAGTGGTTACCTCACAGTGCCAGGGACCCGGGTTCGATCCCGCCCTCGGGCGACTGTCTGTGTGGAGTTTGCACATTCTCCCCGTGTCTGCGTGGGTTTCCTCCCACGATTCCAAAGATGTGCAGGTTAGGGTGGATTGTCCATGGGAAATGCAGGGTTGCGGGGATAAGGAAGGCGGCTGGGTCTGGATGGATGCTCTTTGGAAAGTCGGTATGGACTTGAAGGGCTGAATGGCCTGCTTCCACACTGTAGGGGTTCTGTGATAACCCCTTTACCTTTTAAACCTATGCCCCCTAGCAATCAGCATTTCTACCCTGGGAAAAAGACTATGACTATCCGTGGCCCTCATAATTTTATACTTTTCTCTCAGGTTGCCCCTCATCCATCAGTGATGGTTTCTCTATAGAGGATGTAAAAACCAGAAGTAAAATATTTATCCATTAGAGTTGTCATTTCTTGCCCTCCAGAGGCCAAACACTCTCTTT